CGGGCCTCTCACTGCCGTGGCCTCTCCCATTGCAGAGCACAGGCTCCAGACGTGCAGGCTCAGCGGCCATGGCTCATGGGCCCGGCCGCTCCACGGCATGTGGGATCTTCCTGGACCAGGGCACGAACCTGTGTCCCCTGCATCAGCAGGTGGACTCTCAACTACTGCGCCACCAGGGAAGCCCTGAGCACATTTTTTATATTTAAGGGCCAGGTGCATTTCTTTTCCTGCAAACAATTCATATTATTTGTTCATGTTAAAACTATAGGATTGTAGGGTTTCCTTCTTCCTCAGTTTTTTCAACGCTCTTTTTTAGGATGCACTTTACCTTCGAGATCTGTCGTGAATATTTCCCCAGTTTGTCTTTCGCTTTGTTTGGGGTGCTCTTTTGCTATCTATGTGTTGTTTTTGTAACAATTTGCTTTCCTGTACTGATCCTGGATTTTCTGGGTTATGAAGGAAACTGTTCCCGTCTTCTTCCAACACTTGCATGCTTCCTTAGTTTGTATTCAGCCTGTTGTCTGCCTCTGGATGTAGGGACTTAGTATGGTTTAGGATGTGAGGACCTTTTGCATTTGTTTGATTGGGATTACACTGAAGTTAGGATAAGCTTGCAGAGAAATGTCTTCCAAACCTCAGACAACATCTCTCTCCATTTTTAATTTTTCTCAGCATTTTGTGTTTTTTTTAGTGTAAAGGTCTTTCATGTCTTTCCATTTATTCTGAGGGATTTTATGTTTGGGGTGCTATTATACATGGTATAGGATGTTTTAGTTTTAATTTCCAACTGTTTATTGCTAGCATATAGAAATACAATGACTTTTGTGTATGGGCCTTGTAAACTGTGGTATTGCTGAACTACTCCCTTGTTAGAGCTTTGAAACTCTTCATAGCTTCCTCAGGATTTTATAAACAATCTTATTGTCTGTGAGGCAGGACTGTTTCTCTTCTTCCTTCCAAACTGTCTACCGCTGGCCACACACTCGGTACAAAGCTGATTAGAAGTGGTGAGGAGTGCCCTGATCTTGCTCTGGATCTTATATTTCATCATGAATATGTTAACCATGTTTTTCTTAGAGATCTTTATCAGATTGAGGAACTGTTCTCCTACTTCTAGTTTGCTGATTTTTTTTTTTTTTTTTGGCCATGCAGCACAGCTTGAGGAATCTTAGTTCCCCGACCAGGGATCAAACCCATGGCACAACAGTGAAAGCACCGAGTCCTAACCACTGGACAGTCCGGGAATTCCCAAGTTTGCTGATTTTGTATTATGAATGGGTGTTGAATATTGTGCAGTGCTTTTTCTGCACCTGTTGATCATATGGTTTTCCTTTTTTAGTCTGTTAATGTGAATGACCCTGATTGCGTCTTAAGCCAACCTTGCCTTCCTGGGATAAGGCCCACTTGGTCATGATGGTCCCTTTTTTACACATTGTGTTCAATTTGCTAATATTTAGTTAAAGATTTTTGTGCCTGTGTTCATGAGAGGCACGTTGCCCTGTCTTCTGATTTTCTTGGAAGGTCCTTGTCTTTTTTTTTTTTTTTTTAAATTAGTTAATTTATTTGGCTGCATTGGGTCTTAGTTGTGGCACACAGGATCTTTCATTATGGAGTGTGGGCTCCTCACTGCAGCACTTGGGCTTCTCTCCAGTTGCAGCATTTGGGCTCTAGAACGCATGGGCTTAGTTGCCCTGCGGCATGTGGGATCTTAGTTCCCCCACCAGGGATTGAACCCATGTCCCCTGCGTTGGAAGGCGGATTCTCAACCACTGGACCACCAGGGAAGTCCCAGAAGGTCCTTTTTAATATCAGGGCTGTGCTGCCCTCATAAAAAAATGAATAGGGAAGTGTTTGTTCCTCTCTTTTCTGAAGGATAGTGTGTAACACTGGCATTATTGCTTCCTTACATATTGAGACCCATCTTGGCTTTATGATGAAAAAAATTACACCTCAATAATTTTAACACAGAAAAACGTATGAGTCATCAGTGTTATGCAGCTCAGTGAATTTCCATAGAATAAGAAACAATGTTACCAGCATCTGATTCTCCCCCTGCCTTCCTAGTGGCTCCCTCCTTCAAAACTAACTTGTGTCCTGACTTCTAACACCATCAAATAATGGTGCCTGTTCTGGAACCTCAGATGGAGTCATTCAGGAAGTACCTTTTGCTCAACAGCATCCACACTGCCTGCTGCAGTTGTTCATTTATTTCCATTATTGCCCTGTATTCTTCTGCATGAATAACCACAATGATTTCTCTCTTGTCCAAGAACATTTTGGTCATTTACAGGTTTTGTTTGTTAGTAGTAGTGACCTCAGGACACTGTTTCCTGCACAGATTTCGTAAGTCTGTTGGGTATGTGTGTAGGCGGGGAACTGCTGGCTTGAGCTGCTCAGCCTTGCTGGATGCTTCACACCCAGCAGCAGCAACTGAGAGTTGCAGGTGCTCCACATGCCCCAATGCTTGACATTATGTATCATTTTATGTTTCAGACAGGCAGGGGGGTGAGTGGGTATCACATTGTGGTTTTAATTTGCAATGATGACTAATGAAGTTGAACACCTCTTACTATGTTTATTGGCTGTTTGGACAATGTCTTTTGTGAAATGCCTGTTC